CTCATCCCCACTTTTCCTGTGCATTTCAGGAGCCATCCTACCATCTCTCAATGGCAGAAAACCCTCCAATCTCAGACATCTTCCAACTCTGTTTTCACCTATTTAATGCTTTCATTTTTCCACAATCTTTAATGAAACATCATTTCCTCAGGGAAAAACTTCTCCTATCTGTCAGATTAGATGAGGACCCTCCATTAATAAGCTCTCACAGCACCCTATAGTTTTCCTTCAGAGCCTTTGTCATAGTTAATAGCTATTTATTCAGGCAATAATTTTATTTTTGTTTTCATCTCAAGGTTGAAAACTCCTTGAGGGCAAGAATTTGATCTAGTTTGCTCACTACCGGATCCTCCAGCACATGGCATAGTGCCTGATATCTCCTTGGGCCCTTTCTGACCACTCAATCTAAAACTTCTATTTCCCCACCCCTCACTTCTCTTAAGTTTTTTACTTTGATTGTTTTTCTTCAAAGCATCCATAATTATCTCTGTGTATATGTGTGTGTGCTTGTAAGTATGTGGAAGTGTCTTGTGTATGCATATACATGTGTATATGTACAGTTTTATATGTGTGTATATATGTACATACATGTATACATGGATGTGTTTGTGTATAATTTCTTTATTTGTTACTATTTGTTCTCCCCACTAGAAGATAAGCTACAAAAAAGCAGAGACTATGTATTCTGTTCACTGCTTCATCTCCACCACATACCTGGCACATAATAGGCATCCAATGACTATTTTGTTAGAAATATAAATACATGAATGACAAGTGCTCAAGAAATGCTTACCAGAACTTTCTTCTTAAAAACTCAATAATAATTATATCTTTCACTGAAAAAGATATGATCTATTGATATGCTTTTCTTTTAGAAAAATTGTCTTTCAACTGTCTTCCCAAAATGACACTTTGACAGTTTGAATTCATTTACCACATGTCATTACTAAACAAGTACTTATATTTGGTTTACTGTATTTCAACTTTGTTTTTCTGCAAAGTTCTGTCAGATTCTTCATCCATAATCTTTAATGAAAGCCATGTGGGATTTTATAGGACAAACACATAAAAATAAAAGACACAAAGAGTCTTTGGAATCACAGAGCTGCATTTGAATCTCAGTTTCAACATTCATCAGAAATATAATTTTTGGAACGCCATAGAATTGGTCTCAGCCTCAATTTCACCAGGAAGTATGTGATTGACAGGATCGGCTTAGTGATAAGACTGACTGTAGTTTTAAGTGCATGGTGTACAGTCATAATCAATAATGATATTTATTCATTCTTCATATCTATTCCCAAGTCCCTGTGATACAAAAAAGGGAATTGAGGCCACAAGAATTGAGTATTTCTCAAGACCATCCTTCTTCCCTAAGTCCACATGATAGAAATCAACAGGCCTACAATTATTAGTAAGCATCATCTAGCCTTCATCTGCTCAGGAGACTTTTTGGTAAAAACACGTTGTGTTTGAACTCATACTGTTTCCCAAGTGGGACAGGGGATCCCATTATGCCCTTGCATTGATTGAGGCTCACTACAACCTCAGTTCCAACTGAGCAATTTCTTATTTCAACAAAAGGGAGTCTTAATCCAATCAAAGAATCTGGGTGAGAAATGTGAGGAAAACAATTTTTTTCTACCCCAGTTTTTTTTTTTTTTATATTTCCTCCTCTCTAGGGCATAAAAGAATAATTGAAACTATAGGCTCTCCTAAAATCTTTAATTTAAGTACCATGTTCTTTAATTATATTAAAATTATCTTCTTAAACAATTCATTACAATGCAGTTCTAGTGATGCTTTGGGTCTAATTTCACATCTAAACAACAGTTATTCCAAACACAGGAATAAGTAAATTTTACAGTAAGTAAAATTGATTCTTAAAATAAATAAGATAATAAATCTCAAACAAATTGCAAAATGCCATGAAGTGCTTCATACAGCAGACAAAATTGAAGATTTTTATCAAAGTGGGATATAGAAATTGTATATATTGATACTTGGACTGAATGATTCATTTTCTATGGGGATTTAGTCAGTGAATAACAAAATAAATGAGTTTTCTGCTCAAAGTTATTGAAGATGGCTGGTCTGCAGCAATAACTAATTGGTTTCCTGGCTAATTAGAAGAAATGGATAATATGTACCTAAAATTCTATTCTTACTGAGATGATGTATCTGATTCTCCCAGTGAATACATTCAACTAAGCTATGCCTACATATTGTTCTTTATTTTAGCTTCTGTTTATCCATGACTCAAGCTCATCTCCATTCTGCCCTCATATAGGAATCTTTCCATATTACTATAACATTTTATTCTGAACCTGCTATAAAGGCAATTGTTCATTATAACACAGAAATTGGTTTCAATTATGAAGCAAAACCATACCTTTTTATGTGGCTAGTTTAAGGTTCTATATTTTAAAAGCATTGAATGAGTCATAATGGTAAATAAGAAGACCCTTAAATTAGCATTCACATCTCCTGCATATGAAACATTCAATGGATAATTTTCTACCTATGAGAAATTTATTTTTATGGTGGACAATTTTAAAGAATTGATTTAACTAGCTTAACTATAATAAGAAGCATAATTTAAAATACTGTTGAATAAGGAAAGTATTTTCAAGCATAGAGAAAACCTCTTCGAGTTTCTTTTTGTTCATTATTCAGCAAACATTTATTACGCACCCACAGGTTGCATGGCAATGTACAACATAATTATAACCTAACCTGGCATCATTCTGTTCTAGCTCTGCTAGTGAAGTGAATAAGTTAACCTCTTCAGGAAAGACTATAGATATTAAATGAATGAGTCCGTCTGAAAATAAATATGGGCGCGCATATTTATGTTTCCTTTTTTCATGTGCTAAACGTGGGTTACCAGCTAACTACCCTTTCTATTTCTTCAGGGGCCCAAGACTTTTAAAATAATCTTATCTCACCCAAGCAGTAAATTGTATGCTTAATCACGAGTTTGAAAATGTTTAGAGAGGAGAGAACAGCAATTTGCAGGATTCTACAGACATGGAAAGAATAAACAGCACAATAAATTTAGGCAGACAAGGGGAAATTTAAAAGATTGTTTCTATTTGAAAAGTCACTTTAGACTTGATAATATAGAAGCGATTCAGGATTTTAGAAATGGACATTAGAGCTCATGTAGGCCATTGGTTTCCAATCTTTTGCATTAGAGTCACTTGATTGTTCAAAATACAGATTCTCGGTATTCTCCCACAGAAATTCTGATGCAGTTTGTCTAGAAGTTGCTGAGAGGGAAGACAGGCAGACATATACTTACGAAGCTCTGCAGAAGCCAAAGCTGAGATCCACACATCTAGTCTAGCCTCAACATTTTTTTTGCATGAAATCATGAGGCTTTGAAAGAATATATTTCTTGCCTAAGATCAACATAGCTTGTAGCCCTTGGAGCCAGGCCTAGAACCGAAATACCCAAAGTCCTAGTCTGAATCTCTACTAAACCAACTGGCACCATTTCTTCTTCTCTGATACACTGGTTGAGATCTAATCACCAATCAGTAATAGGATGTCCAAGACAGCCTATATCCCATGTGATAAGCAAATCCCCTTCCCCTAATGGCCTCTATGCTTCCTTTCTTGCTAAGTACTAAATAAGTCTTCCAATTATACTGCAATGATTAATATATGTGTTTATTCCATATTTTGTGAAATACTATACTTAATTAAAACTTTTGCATCCATAAAATATATCATTCTGATTTGAAGGCAAGGTAAATAGTGCAGTGCCTCTGGTTTGCATAGTGTTGTAGAAGGCAGTAATCTAGTTTCAGAAGAAGATTCAATTGAAGGCTATTCAGAACTAAATTTTCATTAAGCAGGTCATTTCAACCCTGCCTTTTCAACCCCACTATTTTGACCCACCTCACACCCAGATTCCATACATTTGTCTCTATTAAGTCTATTTACTCTTTACCCTCAGGAATAAATACAATTTTCAGCCTTTCATCTAAATAATGTAGAAATAATCAACACAAAATACCACTGACATCAGCTAAAAGGGCACATTTAAATATGGTAGAAATAAATAACTAGCCCAAGAATCAATATTAAAAATTAACACTAGAAAAATTAGCCATGGTAGCCCTGGCTGGTTTGGCTCAGTGGATAGAGCATCAGCCTGCAGACTGAAGGGTCCCAGGTTTTATTCCAGTCCAGAGCATATGCCTGGGATGCAGGCTCAATCCCCAGTAGGGGGCGTGCAGGAGGCAGCTGATCAATGATTCTTTCTCATCACTGATGTTTCTATCTCTCTCTCCCTCACCCTTCCTCTCTGAAATCAATAAAAATACTTATTAAAAAAGAAAAATTATTCATGGTAGAAATATCCAATACCAAATAATGAATATTTAATCTCTGCCATATAACTGAAATGAACTAGAGTGCTAGAGGGGAAACATAAACTTGTAAAAGAGTAATCTTAGATCTACCATTAATGTTAAAATCAATGTCAATAGAAGGAACTGGACTGTGAATAAGCCATAATACTAGACGTTCCTACCTCAGGGCCAAGTATATTGCAGGAGTTAAGTAAATGCTTTTTGAATGAACAAATGAATGAACTAATGAGTAAATGAATGAATAAGTAATCCTCTTCATAGATTTAGAGTATGTTTGTGACTTAGAGACTTCACTTTAAAACAATCTATTCAAAGCTATGGATTAATACATTAGATTTTGGAAAAGTTGGTGCTGAGTATAATGTAGGTGTCTCTCTTTGTTAATTGAAATGACCACAAAGTCATTATTCTTACCCTTAATTTCTCAGCCTGAAAGTTAATGAACTGTATCTATTCCATGAATAATTGAGTTAAACTTGAAAGAGAACCACCCGTTCCAAAATCCTCCCACACTATCAGTTAACTGTGATTTATTCTTTTACTTCTAAAGAATTTTAAGCATCTTCATCTGATTTGACTGACAACCAAACTGTGCTTCCTCCATCTCTCTTCTCTCAGGAAGAAGATGCTACTCGTGAAAGTCGTTTTAATTTCAGTGGTTATGGGATGGGTCACTGCCTCCAAGTGAAGGATGGAACAGCTGTCAAGACCGCACCTGCCAACCAGGCCCCGCAACCCCCAAAAGATGCAGATGCCATCAAGAAGAAGTTTGTGGACCGGGCAAAAAGAATTGACACAATATCTCGAGCTGCCTTCCCATTGGCCTTCCTCATTTTCAACATCTTTTACTGGATCACATACAAGATCATTCGGCATGAAGATGTCCACAAGAAATAGATGTGCCCTTCAGATCCTGGGACCTTCTTGCCTAAGTGTTGTGCTTGTAAATACACAGTGAAATTGTCTTTATATCACTTTGATAGAGGAGAAGATTGGGGGAGGGGAGAGGGAGGATCATGGGGCGGGTTTCCTGGCACCTAGGTGAATAAAGATAAGTTATATGGCAATGAAGGAAAATGTTTGCACAAAATTAAGTTGTTGCAGAATCACGTGAACATAATTCCCTCCATAGTTGTCAGCATTGTTCTTTCAGATGATACATCAATTAGGCATGATATGTAAGGTCAAGTTTTCAAGGGCAATTTGTCTTTTGGTCTGGTTTTGACTAATTCTAATACTGGAAAAGCTTAACACACACACACACACACAGAGAGAGAGAGAGAGAGAGAGAGAGAGAGAGAGAGAGAGAGAGAGAGAGAGAGAGAGAGAGAGAGAAAATGCTTACCATCAGACCATAGTGACTAGCCTATTGTGAGTCGAGGACCAAACTTTTTTCAGGAAAATGCTGCCTCATTTTTAAAACAAGCCTCCTGAGCTACATTCTTTACAATGTCTGTAATTAGTGTTTCACCTGTGAAATCCTTTTGTGGGTCATAAATTATTTCTACTCATAGAAAAAATGAACACGAATCACAAAGAACGGATTTCTACTTTACTGTCTGTGTAGGTGTGCATTTTAATATCATTTTCTTTCCTAGATGTAATTTGGGGTTTAAATTGTGTCTTGTGAAGTCGTTTAATAGTATACCCTCTTAAAAATAAATGCCCACTTTATTTTAGATCCAAGTTAGCACACTATATATTTTTTTCGCTTTGGCTATATTTATGAGTGAAGTGTTCAAATGTGATGTAGCCATTGCAACCTCACAGCCACAGTATTTATGAAGATGGTGTATCCTGAATGGTGTAGCTCTTATTAGCCTGAACTTCCCATTTCTGCTCTCATTGTAGGTGTAACTACTAGTCCTAATGTCAACTGACCCATGATTTCTACTGTCAATCCAAGTGAATATCATTTTAGATATCCCGAATTAACTTAAATAACTTTAAAATTGTACTGTGATTTTCATAACCCGTTGCCTTTTTGGTACCAGAGCTACGTGGTTTGAATCCTGGCTACATAATTTAAGTGAGAAAAACAAACAAACAAACGTATTTTTGCTTACTCAGATAAAAGACAACCTGTAAAAACATAATGAAAAAAATTGAACTTTACATGTGTTGTAAAAGGGGCTATTTAAAAAAAAAAAAAGTATTTGTGCAATTACAATAAAGCTAAGTGTGCCACAGAACTTCTCTAAGAGTCTTTCTGTTTTTTGCACTACAATGTGAATAATTTAGGTCACAATGGTAACTTGAATTTTTGTTTCTGGTCTACCGTATAAGCTTGAAGCACTTATATAGCTATTATATTATTCTTATTTATCTATATAAAAGCCTAAGTGACCATCGCAACTGAACCTATGACTGAAGAGGCTGCATGGGGCAACCCGGCCGGCAGGGGGGTTAGTGAGGGGTGACCAAATGATGGAAGAGCAAGCTGTGTGGGGCGACTAGGCCAGCAAGCGGGTTAATGAAGGGTAACCAAACAACCTGAGGGGTGACCAATGACTGAGCAACAGGCTGAGTGGGACGACCAGGCTGGCAGGGGAGATTAGTGAGGGGTAACCAAACAACCAAGCAGCAGGCTGCATGGGCTGACCAGGCCGGCAGGGGGAGCAGAAGGGGGTGATCAGGCAGGCAGGCAGGTGAATAGTTAGGAGCCAGAGGTCCAGGATTGTGAGAGGGTGCAGGCTGGAATAAGAGGGCCTTTCACATCCCCTGCATGAATTTCATGCACTGGGCCTCTAGTCTATAATAATAAAAGTGTAATATGCTAATTAGACCGGATCTCCTTCTGGAAGAAGAAGCCAGGGCTAAGAGGGAAGCCCGGGTCCCAGGTGCCAGAGGGTAGCTGGTGCAGGCAGATAGGGGAAGGAAGGCCTACTCTTGCACAAATTTTGTGCATCGAGCCTCTAGTCTATACTAATAAAAGAGAAACATGCAAATTGACCATACCTCCACTATGTTCAGAGGCCACACCCATGAGACCAATCAGGAGTGAGTATGCAAATTAACCCATCAAAGATGACAGGTAAATTTGCATATGCAGGCCGGTTGGGCAGCGTCAAGGCCCACCTCTGGGGGTCTGGGTCCATCAGGGACCAGGGAAGGCTGATAGGGCAGCACCAGATGCCACCCACAGACACCATCTGTAAGGTACCAGTTCATTGGGGCCCGGAGAGGTGGGGTTGGCAGCGCCAGACACCATCTCCAGGGTCCAGGTCCATCACAGGCCCCAGGAGGGGAGCAGGCCCACCTAGCAATGTACACAGGGCCCTGGGAAAATCACCACCATGGGAAGGCACCACTGGGCCTGCCTCACCACTCCCATGGGGCCCTGTGAACATGACTGTGGGGCTGCCTGAGGGGTGGCTCCAGGGCGAGCATGGCAAAGTGGCTGGCCAAGAGGCAGGCATTCTATGGGGCCTCACCATTCCTCTATGAGGACGCCCCACACAGGCGCTGCCTTCGCCAGCAGTCTCTGGGCGACATCTGCAAATGCTACTGCAACCTCTAGCATTCTGGGCAAAGAACTGACCCTGTGCCTCTCTGGGTACCAGGCTTGCTAGGAGTGTGCTGTCACCAATGCCATAGATCAAAGGCAAAAACCTGGTGAGGCGGGGTGCACCAGAGGAGCCTCGGGCTGGGGCAGGGATCTGCCTCACCTGCAGAGAGAGAGGTTCTGCAGTGGCCCCAACACCCAGATGGGCCCAGCCAGGGATCAAGGGGCATGGAAGGATGTCTGGGGGAAAGTGCAAGGACCCGCAGCCCTGAGGCGGGGGTTGAGGGGCGGTGCCACCTCAGTGGAGGGGTGCTGCACTACAGGATACTGGACTGACTGACTTGATTCAGAGAAGCTCCCAGTGCTAACAGGCTTGCCCAGGCAGCCTTCGCACTTCAGAGGCAGCGACTTCTGTGCCTGCCTTGACCCAAAAACAAGTGGGAACTGCTCTGCCCTAAGGCAGAGCAAGACTAGGTGGTGAGTGCAAAGCTTTCCACCTGCTCTGGAGAAAGGAGGGGGGCCGTAAAGAATGGGGGTAGGGGACTTGGGAGAGGAAAGAATGTGGAGCATCCACAATGAAGAGGTGCTTGAGAAAGAGGCTCAGAAGCCTGATGGGAAGGTTTTTTTTTTTTTTTCTGTTTGCCCAGCAGCTGCCCCTTAGGCAGAGAGCATGGCTCTGAGGGCTCCCTGTGCACTGAGACAAGTTCCACAGCCAACTGGAATGGGCCTCAGTGTCCTGGTCTGTAAAATGGATGAAGCGTGACCCAGTGCCTTCACCGAGCTTTGATGGCCAATTGAGATTCTATATAAGAAAAATGAGGGAAGAAGTGAGAAAGAAAAGGAAAGGCAAACAACACAAAAGAAAGACTGGAAGGAACCTGTAAATCCATTGACACTTAAATAGGGAAAATGGTCAATAGTGTTGTAATGAAGGTATGATGCCAGGTGGGTACTGGAAATGTTAAGGAACACTTTGTAAAGTATATGATTGTCTAACCACTAGCCTATAACTAATATAAAACCTGAAATCAATACAAAATAATATTGAATGAAAATTGGAGTGAAATTTTTATAAATTTCAAAGTTTAAATAAAGGCTGTAAAGGAAGGAAGGGGAGAATAAAAATAGTGTTTTTCATTTTACCACTTCATTGTCTTTTCAGTACATGAAAAAGACAGTTGTCTTTTTATGGTGCTTTTATACTTTTCTAAGTCATTATCTCATTTTAATTTCAGGGCAATTTAAAGACAAGATAATTGCCAAAACCAGTTTGGCTCAATGGATAGAGAGTCGGCTAGGGGACTGAAAGGTCCTGGGTTCGATTCCGGTCAAGGGCATGTACCTTGGTTGCGGGCATATCCTCAGTAGGGGGTGTTCAAGAGGCAGCTGATCGATGACTCTCATTGATGTTTCTAACTCTCTATCTCTCTCCCTTCCTCTCTGTACAAAAATCAATAAAATATATTTAAAAAATAAATAAAGACAAGATAATTATTCCCTCCACTATTCAACGAAAGGAAATCTTGTTGTCTTGTCCCAATGATTCAATCATCAAACCCTTATTGTAAAGCAGGGTTAGTAAAATTTTCTGTGAAAGGTCATATCTATACTAATAAAAGCTTTGGGGGTGATTAGGCCAGCAGGGGAGGTTAGGTGGGGGCAATCAGGCCAGCAGTTAGGGGGTAATCAGGCAGGCAGGTGAGTGGTTAGGATCTAGGGGTCCTGGATTGTGAGAGGGATGTCCAATTGCATGTTTAGGCCCTATCCCTAATTGGGCCTGAATCTGCAGTCAGACATCCTCTGATGGGTCCCAGATTGGAGAGGGTGAAGGCTGGGCTGAGGGACACTCTCCCCAGTGCACAAAATTTATAATATAATATTAGCTTATAGTATCTCCATGGGGGGGGGGAGTTATTATCATTGTAGAAATAGGCAAATGAAGACATGAAAGCATTAGTAGTCATTGTGAGCAGAATATAATACTGGATACTTCATATGAAATATGGAAATGTTCCAAGAACACTGAGGAATTATAAATTGTCAAAGTGACAAGAAATACAAAAGACTAACCTGTCCAGCTATCCATCCTGATTTTGTCAGGAATGAAGTTCTAAGATGAAAAAAAAAAAAAAAAATCTGAGAGCACCAGTGAAGCAGAATTAACTCATCTTTACCCCAGTAGATTTTCCTTAACCAGACATATGCATCACAATATTTTCAGAGAGATATGAAAACATAAGTCAATGTTTATGCCCTCTTAAATCTATTCAAATAATAACTCATTTCCATAGAGAGAAATATTGCAGAATGGCTAAAGCATGAATTTTGATGATAGAAAGACTAGCTTGGCTACCTATCAACAGAGTGATCTTCGATAAATTACCTAAATTTTCTGAGTATTTTCTCTTTCATAGATTTTAAGAGGACAAATTGAGGGGAGGAAATGCAAGTAAAGCCATTAGTTTGGAATCTTACACATAGTAAATTCTCAATAACTAATTGAGAATAATAAAATTATTATTATTAATATGAATAGTATTGGCTATCCACAGGGTAAAAAGCTTTAGTGTCTAACCTTGACAAGATTAATGCCAGGCTTTTTGCACCATTTCTGAAATACTATCTCTGTTTTATTGCTCGTTCCTTTTCAAATAAATAAAGCAAAGTCTTTGATTGGTCTTAATTTTCTTCCTTCCCCTGCAACCAGTAAAATTGAGACTAAAATGTCTCTCAAAATGAGTCTGACCCCATAGGTGAC